GAACTATTATGAGAAGCTTCGCATCAGGGTATTACCGCCTGTGGAAGCTGACCTTGTGGCAGCACTGACATAAAGGAAGAGTGGAATTTTTATCAACGTGTCTGATCTTTCTTAGAGTGAATGTAGATGAGAAGGTGATTAAAAAATAAAGCACCAATGCTGTCTCTTCAGGAGGGCTGCTGTTAGTGCCTGTGGAAGTGTAAATATTCCTAGTTTGTACCTTACTGGCACAAATTTAAAGGTTAGATTTTTTTTTTAAATGAAAGTTGATGCATTCACATGACTCCAGAACTTTAAGAAAATACATGTTATTATATGAGCCTCACAACACATAAGCCACAAGCAGATATTCCTGAAAAGTCAGTCAAAATCCCTGGATTACCAGGAATGAACCTATGGCTGCCCCTTAGTTGATGGGACAAGCTTACAGAATACTTGAGACAGGGTCAAAGGCCTCTTCTCCACATGCAACACAAAAATTGTTCACACAGGCAAGTGTTCATATTGATGCCAGCACTGCTGCATTTGTTTGGAGCAAGCTGGGCACATCTATACGAGACATTTACTCATAGTAAACTAATTAGCTGTGCAGTGAATGTTGCATGTTTACATGTGCACCCCCATTAGGCTGGAGCAAACTAATTTACTCCCCAGCAGTAAAACACTCCACAGCAGTGCATGTGTAGATGTAGCCCTGACTGCCTGGGGCAAGAGGGTGCTTCAGTGTGGGGGCTGCCTGCCAGCTAGCCCTGTACTAAAGCACCTTCATGCCCCAGGCAGCCTCTTTGCAGCATGATGAGTTGTGGGGAGCAGCCCCAGGCTTGCAGTCTGACTCACAGGGCCCCTGCTAGCCCAGGCTACTCTGACCTAAGTCAATGTGTTGCAGTCCTAGGTGCATATGCAAATGGCACCCAAGAGCAATAAACTCTGGAGATTATTCATGCACCTTAATTGCACATGGAGACATACCTGGCATGTCCTGGGTTAAGCCAAAGCTACACAGTTGCATTGAAGTGGTATGAAAGTGATGGTAGTGCAACCTCACTAATTGATTCTCACAAGAAAAGACAATACACCAATGATTACTCTCTGTAATGGCCAGTGTGCCTATATTCAACATGTAATATTCAATTACTATGGTTTGAGCTACCCAAGTGTCTAACATTACTCAAGATTCATTCTGTTAGGTGTAGCAAACAACAGGATTAGCCAGGATGAGCTAGAGTAGTTCATATACCTGCAATGCACCAATCCTTCAATTTTGAAATATCTATAAAATGTTTAGCTGTAAAATTGATCCAAAAAGTATTTTCATTAAACACTTTTAGCTATTCTTCAAAAAGCAACTTTCTGAGTGCTTCCAAGGAGAACCGCAGGAACAGGGGAAACCTGGTACCTGCACGAGCCTGCATGCACATACACACACACCCCATGCCCATACATTTTTGGGGTCTTATTAAAAAGGCAGTCTTATTATCAAATCAGACCTTTATATGATGTGGATCTTTAGTGGTAATGACAGGGAACCAGAAAAATACAAAGCATCCTAAAGCAAAAGCAACTTAACTGGCAAGAACTGAGTTGAATTGTAGACTTTCCCCTTGAAGGCAGTCAACCACATAGCATTCGTCTACTGCTACGGCCATCATGGTTTTTTAAGCTACAAACAAAACTGGCTTTTTGTTGGCTTTATGAACATACACACACTGTCAGCAGAAAACTATGATAGTGGAAACTGGCAATATATACATTCATAGATGTAGGGTCGGAAGACACCTTGTAGATCTTCTAGTCCGACCCCCTCCCCTGGGCAGGAGAGAAAACTGGGCTTAAATGACCCCAGCCAGGTAAACATCGAGCATCCTCTTAAAGATCCCCAGGGTAGGAGCCATCACCACTTCCCTTGCAAGCTGGTTCCAGATCCTAGCCGCTCTGTGAAGTAGTGACTTCTAATGTCTAGTCTAAACCTGCTCTCTAGCAACTTACGGCCGTTATTCCTTGTTACTCTGGGAGGCGCTTGGGGGAACAAGGTCTTTCCCAAACCCCGCTGCCCCCCACCCAGTAAGTTTATAGATTGCCACCAGGTCCCCCCTTAGCCTTCTCTTGTGAATGCTGAACAGGTTCAGGTCCCATAGCCTGTCCTCACAGGATGTGCCCTGCTGCCCCCGATCATGCAAGTGGCCCTCCTCTGGACCCGCTCAATGCTATCCACATCCCTCTTGAAGTGCAGCGCTCAGAACTGGACACAGTACTCCAACTGCAGCCTGACCAATGTCGCATAGAGGGGGAGGATCACCTCCTTGGCCCTGCTTGTGATGCATCTGTGGATGCAGGACAAGGTACGGTTAGCGCTACTGACCATGTTGGCCCATGTTCATCTTGGGGTCAGTAATGATTCCAATATCTCTTTCTGCCACCATGCTTTCGAGAAGGGAGTTCCCCAGCCTATAGGTACACTGCTGGTTCCTACTGCCCAAGTGCAGCGCCCTGCACTTGTCAGTATTGAATCCCATCCTATTTTCATTCAATTTAAGTTTCAAAACCTAGCAGCCTCCCTGAAGCTTTGAAATACGAGAAAATAATAAAAAAAAATAGCTTTTAGAGAATGGAGGTTAGTGTGCATTTGGACCTTGTTACATGTTGCACTTTAAGCTTCTCAAATGTTGTTCAGTGTTAGTTTTAGCTCGACTGTATAGTTACATGTTCTGGCTAAAAACCTTCTCTGTCTGTTCCCAACCTGCACAACTGACTTGCCCCTGGACAGCTGGCAAGCAAGGGCCTAACTACGAGCTAGAGCTGTGAATTGTCCACACAGAACAGGAAGGTGAGGGAAGGAGCACTGCATCCTGGGATGTTGAAGGATAAATTTGGGTGGCTTCTCTCTGGGGAGCGACCGCACATTTGTGGACCACGAGGTCGATAACATAGAACAGAGATAAACCTGCCCTCAAGTGGGATAACTTTAAGACTCCTAAATGGTGCTTAAAACTAGGTTAAATGTCTTAATGCATGGACCATCCATAAGTTAAGAGCTCCCTGAGTGGCCTAAAATTAATGTGTAAGAAAGCCCTTTTTTGCATATCCTGACAATTTACTTTATCTTTAAAGAAAGCTGAGGAGGAAGGAGGAAATTAAATGAATTGCAGAAGTCTTGCTTTGAATTATTCAAGGGAAATAAGAGGACCGTTATCCTATTTTGGTTCCTTGAGGTCAAGTATTTCTAGGCAATCTGCAGGATAAGGATGACATTTTGGACAGGCCAGTGTCTTATAGGGTCATAGGAAAGTAGGGCTGGAAGGGACCTCACAAGATCACCTAATCCAGCCCCTTGCTCAAGGCAGGATCATTCTTTTCTAAACTAGCCCAGCCAAGTGCCTGTCCAACTTGCTTTTGAAAGTTTCCAAGATGCAGACTGCTTAAGTCTCTTTAGGTAGCCTGTTCCAATGCTTCACCACCCTCCTCATAAAGCTCTTTTTTTTCTTTGCTCCTTCTTGAAGATTTGGTGCTGCATCTGTTTCCAGCTGCATACTAGGCTGGAGGGATCACAAGCCCAAATTCAGAGAAGTAGGGTATGTCCCCACAACCATGCACATGTGGTTTATGGCACCACAAACTGCATGATGTGCATGTGCATGTTTGTCATGCTGCTAATTTGCAGTGCAGCAGTTATTTTTGACACCAGGAGATCTAGTGGTGGACAACAGAAGTAAACAGATTAACTGTATGCACCAGTCATGAAGGTTGAAAGCCAACCTGCACCACCACTTGTGCAGACAGACGAAAGGGCACTCACCCCTATCTAGTAGCAGGAGATAGGTATATGAATTGGGTTCTTCATTTAGGATTTGATTCTCCTCACATGAAGCAAGAGAACAGATACCTGTCCCTTTTGATTTTTCTGGCTGAGAATAATAAAACAGTTAATATTAAGCCTTATTTATACCCATGCAAAGATTCCACTTGCATTTTCTTTCAACTGCAACAACCTTTAATAACTGTCCTAAGAACATACAAAGAACAGACTCTGTTGGAAGCCAAAATTATTTCTAAATCTTCCCTTCCCCCAACATGCATATAACCTGCCTCTTATCCTAAAAGGATAGAGCATGCCTTCTGAATTTTGAAACTGTTGGTGTAGGTCATAGCAACAGAAAGGCAAAAAATGTTAGAACAGTGCCCACAGCAAAGTCAGATTTTTTTATTGATGATCTGCTCAGCACTGAATTAAAAAAGGGCATTAATAACACAGAAGTTTAAACACGTACTAAAAAAAAGCCACGTACACAAAATGAAATTTCAAGCTTAGTTTCCCAAGTGACATTATGCCTGCATATTTGCCAAACACTTTAAAGCTTTAAAGTTTCCCTTTAATCACAGTGTAATAAGGTTTCCATAACATACATTTGTGTCCAATTTTAAAATGCAACAATTTCCTGATTTCCAAGAAGGCACAATACTCAACAAGTGTCCTTTTAAGTAATTATAGATTGTTGTAGCAGTCATTTCATTCCATGATCTATAGTTTTACGATTGTCCAAAGAAGAAAAAAAATACAAAACAAAAACCACAAAATGATCATGTGTTTATAACCATGATGAATAACTATCACTATTGCCAACTATTGTTTATCTAATGGCAACAGCATTTTCAGGCAATTTATGGCCAGTCTCTATGTAGAAAATATAGCCCAGTCTCAGTGGGCGTATCTACATGTGCATTTACGCTCGCTTAAATTTACTGCACTAGGCTGGCATCTACACATGCAGGTGTTAAGGTGCATTACTGCTATGTGTGGACTGATTTGGGACTAAAGTTAGCCCCAAGTCTGTCCACACACAGTGCTACTGCACAGTAAGGCATCTACACATGTTACTCCACAGTAACTAATCGGGCATAAATTTGATACCTACATGATGCAGGTATCAAGTTTACGCTCAAGTTTGCGTAAGTCGCCATATTTACTGTGCAGTAGATGTGCACATGTAGATGTGCCTTGTATGTTGTAAACAAAGAGCAGTATTTTCAAGTGTCCTTAGTGATAGTGAGTGAAAACTGCTCACTTTTATTCCACTGAATCTCATTAAAGCTCATTCTTTTAAGATAGAAAGCACTGCAGTAAAATTCTCCAAGTACATAAACATAATCAATATGTTTTTATGGTTTCTCAACTGAGGCACCTGGCAGAAGAGCTTTACATTCACATTTTTGGAATAGGAGTTGCAGCCACTGCTATGCTTTCAATAGCGCATTCATCAGTGCCTCTGCGGATTCTGAAGTAACCATTTTCACCCCAGGCAGTTCCCCAGCTGTTTTTCACTATCCAGAATTTCTCACCGGTACCTGGATCTTTGCCATAGCCCACAAGCAAGACAGCATGATTGGTCAACTCAAAAGGGTTGAACTCATCCTGCAGCTGAGTATGATGGTAAATCCCTTCTTTATAGTACATGAAGTCATTATAAACCTCAAAAGCAACAGCCATAGGCCCATTTTTAATTAGTTCGAGCTTCATCAAGGCCTCATTGCAGCCACCATAAAAGCCTCCAACATAGCTGTATTCAGACACATAGTGGTGATAACAGTTCCGCTTGTAAACGCATGGAGAATCTGAGCCTGTGTAAGGGAAACAATCCTCCTCCACCACACCAAAGTCTTGGACATATTTTCCAGCGATGAGGTATGGGAAGCCACCACCACAACCTAAGAAGTCAGAAAGTATCTGGTTATTCCTCAGGGAGACTTTTAGAGTGGGAGAAAAAATGATCAGTCTCCTGAATTAGGTTGCAAAAAACATTTTTTTAAAATAGCTTAAATCTTTACTATCCAACATCTCATAGCACAGTGACCACAGCAAATGCACATTACAGTTGAAGACAGTCATTCCCTCTCCCCAACCTTACCTTGGAAAAAGAGGAAAAAATTCCTAACATACCTCCAGCACAGAGAAGTGGTTCCTAAGCCTATTCAGAAGATAGCCCAACTGTGGCAGAAAGCCACCTTGGTTTCTCCCCAAAAATCTCTGCCCTGTGACACTGTGATTTAAATCTCTGTGCTGTGACCATTCAATTAGGATGGGCCCAGCACACAGGGGACCACACCCTCAGCCTGTCTCTTTAGGGAACTGGAGCTGGCTGCATTCCTGAGGGAGGGGG